AACCTCAATACGCGAGGCCGTGACATGCCAAGCTGCAGATACCAAAAGGGGAAACCGACACCTGAGGTTCTTGGAAGACAAGGTCTTGACCTCCAAAACCGAGATGGCCTGGCTCTACGCTTAGCTCCGGGAGCGGCGGTCAGGGTGTGCAAGCCCCAGGCTTTACGGAAGACCTGACACCTGTTCGTCCCAAGCCCCCGAACGGTGTGGACCCAAAGCCTTCGCCCTTTACATCCCTTCACATCGCTTTTTGGACCAATATTGAGCCCGAACTCACAATATTAATCGATGCACCAGATCCTGCCGACCCTGTTGATCCAACCTCAACCTATGTTTTGACACTCTGTTTACTTGTGGGTTTTGGGATCAGAGACACAGGTTGGGGGGGGGCGAAAGAACCCGTGCCATCTCCCCCTTATTTGTCTGCACTTCGGCATTGCACGAAGATTGAAGCTTCTGTACATGTCATGTATTGGTCTGTAGGGAACCCTGCCCAAGGCCGGAGGTTGCTTGATATCACAAAGACCTTTTTCTGACCACTGACAAGGAGTTTGACCAGGCATGCTGCAAACCACCCCAACTAGCCCCCGCTCATCCGGTGAGGGTCTGGTTGGCCGAATTTTGTCTTGTGTTACTTTAAGACGCAATAAGCCCCGAAGTCTTAACACAAGGAACGTGGAGAACACATACCTGTGAACCTGCCTTCCACCTCGGCGGTCCTTTTTTTAACACCGGGCTGAAAAAGGGTCCCGTTCCAACATCCAATGGTAGTCTCGAAGACAAGCATGAGTGTCGCTTTTGTGAAGGTACACTTTATGGGATTGCTTCAAAGAGAAGTCGAAGGCAAACGGCCCATGAAAAGCGACTTACATCCATGCTCCCGCCCAATGCAGACTCTCGGGGCACGGACCCTAAGTTCCATTTGGTGTATGTCTCAACCGAATAGTCGACTGGTATGGCTTTCTCTTAGACACAAGGCCAGCCAAAGTGGGCCCATGGCATCCCATGGCCCATGCGATCCTCTCTGGATTGCTCCTTTCCAGCCGCGAGCTCCGAGGGCGCGCTTCGATGACACAGGCAAGTTCTTTTATGGCATGTTGGCGCAGGCGGGCTGGTTTTCTGCCGAAAGCGGTAATCACAAAGGAAATCAGCCTTACTTTGCAGTGGTTCCTGGATTGGGAGATGTCCAAACATTGAAAGCAATGCTGTTAAAGCATCATCATTCAGGGTTCCGTAAAAGGGGGGCAATGATCAAAGTATTTTAACCCAATCTGGCCCAAGCTGATCAACCATCTAGGATTAGTCCTACATAGCCCTTGTTTTTGGCAGTTGGTTCCCTTACAACCACGGTTGCTCCGAATCTCTAAATGACCAAACCAAGTTTGGTTAGAAGCTTGGAATTGGGGTTTCTTGTCTCTTTCCAGGGGCCAACCTATTCCCACTGTGACGTGGACCGGAATCAACGGTATGAGTCAAACAAACTGGGGAAGAACTTTGGTTTGTGGATGAACAAAGTCCACTTCCCACCAGATGACATGGATGAATCCCTTTGAACACATGTTGATGAATCGCCAACTGGGATTGGTTCCATCCACAGTACCTCTTTGTATGAGGCTTCAGCGGAGGCTTCAGGAGATTCGGCCATGAGTTTCAATTCTGGAGCCCCAAACAAAGGTCCGTGGACCTAAATCTCTACCAAAATCCCAATAAGTTTAGACTCATATTATAATATGCTCAAGCAAACGTCCCTGGCAAGAATCCACCACATGCACAGGATCATGTCCTTTGTGCTTCTGGCCCAAAATCGATGTCGATCCCTGGTTGACCCGGTTGTTTCATCTACCAGGGACATCGATTTTCCATTGAAAGGACACTGCGAAGGATGTCTCTGGATTCCAGGACGGTGAGCTTGGCTCCTGGGGCACCCTCTACTCCCACCGCGCGGCGGAGGATGAGCCAAAGCCTCAGCGATGGGTTTCCATGCGAAGGGATTTTGTTTCCAAGTTTGATGGTGAGTTGAACTCGACAAGATCTGGTTTTATACCGTGGATGGACAAATATGTTTTCGCAGCAATTGGGATAGATGAAGCTCGTTTTGAAGACTGGTTGATCAACCATCTACCAACTGGTGCGAAACGGATTTGGTCCATCCGTACGGTTTCCAGTTCTGGGGCTCAAAGTCAGTCCCTGGGCAACCCGTTCGCTCCTCGAGTTCCTGGAGTTTATAGTTTTTTTGGACGAGCAAGAACCCCGGTCCAAGGATAAGTTCAGTTGGACCATTTGAGTTTCGGTACCTACACTTGTTTCCAGCCCTTTGGAAAGACATGTGCAGCGGTAATTACTTGCACTCATAGTCGGTAATCCGGTTGCACAGTGGCACCTGTTCCCGTTTGTTTGGTGGGTCCCTACAAAAAGTGGTGAACCCCAAGAAGGGTTACCAGCTTTGCTCTACCAGGGTCATTTTACAACTAGAAAATGGAGGGATGCCACGAAGCCCCTTTCTGAGATTCTGGGTTAGCGCGCAGCTTTTGTGTGCAGAAGACATGCATGTATACACCTTCTCCTCGGAAGAACTTGGCAAGAACCTGGCAAGCGGGAGGTGGGGGCTCGCACGTGGTGACTACAAAGATTTAGCACTTAATGCAAATAAGAACAACAAAGCACATGCAAGGTCGCGCCTTTCCTCAAATCGCACAGCGAGCGAAAAAGCTCTCGACCTCGTTTCAGAAGTGCGTGCTTTGTCCATTCTCGCAATCGGGTGTATGCAGCTCGCACGCCTTGAAGCTAAAGATTGCGTTTTGGTTCTTTGTCGTGGCCTTGTCAGTCAAAGCTACCACTAAAATCCGCCAGAGGGGGGCGGAAGTTCAAACATGGAAGATAACTATAGTTTGGAGCTCGCGTCATTCCTCCCTTGCTTCCTTCTCGTTCTCTTTCTCTCTCTCTCTCTCTCTTTGTTATTTGTCCTTGATTTTGTTCTTTCTTTTTTCTTTGTCTGTCTCTCTCTCTCTCTCTTTCTTTCTTAGAGAGTGTTTGCTCAATTAGTCAGTCAAAAAGGTCCCATATTTGCCCGAACTGCTGGTTTTGTTCTGACAGTCGTTTGATGTATTTGCCTGCAGGGGACCCGTATTTGTTGAATAGCAAATTATTTTGAGCACGTCAAGGAACCGAGGTGACGATTTTTTCTGGCCAAGCCTTTTGAGCAGAGAAAAAACGGCCTTTTGGGGTTTTCAGGAAGTACTACGTAAGTGTTTACTATACTTTTGACTACACTTGCACGGAAACAAATACGCTTATTTGAGCATACTTCGAGTATCTTCAAAGCGCAAAGGATCAATCTGCGGGGGTCTCGCTCGGATCTGGTGTAGATCCGTTTGTAAGACCGAAGCCAGAAAGAGACGCAGCCTGTGTTTGTTCTCAGCGTGTGCTCTTCGGGGTAAAAGGGTGTCACTTCCCATGCAGGGGGGGACTTCCCATGACATAGACATGACTTCTTTGCAGTCGCGTTGCCGTTGGGACTTGCTGTGAAAACTGATGGGAGGTTTTTTTTGAGTGACCCACAATTGGACAGGTGATGGCAATTGATCATGTTTCTTCAGCCCCTATTTGGCACACGGGAGACGAAGATAGACCTTTAGAACCGTGCCGTGTACGCAATGATACATTGAGCGTTTGCCGGCGCGCTCGCATTGTCGCCCACTCCGAGGACATTCATGAGCTGCGTAAAAGAGGGCGAGCCCTACAAGGCACAGATCAGATGTGAACTTTGGATTCCGAAGGACCCTTACTAAGGGGTGGTTCCCCCTAAGCCCAAACCCATGGGCACGCTTCCCATTGGCTGCCTCTTTGAAGAAGCAAGAAAGACAAGCCGCGCACGCACGTTTAACGCGGCCCTTTGTGCAAAACTTAGAGGCTCGCACCTGTAAACTTCTGGAGTCTCCGAGACATGTAGAACCAGAGTTTCATGATCCCTGGATTTTGAATTTATGACAGTAGGTTTGGAGTAATTAGGGCGACCCCAAAATCGTGTTTGTTTTCTGTTGGTTTTCCGCCAAACCTGGGTGAAAAGGGCCCCCTTTGGCCCCTTTCTGCCATTATGCAAGTCCTCTGGCGCCTTGCACGGAGCTAGCTGTGGTGACTTGCCATTTGGGCGGTCTCAGAAGAACCTTTTGGGCGCTCTCAGCCGAACCTCCAGATTGCGCTCTTGTTGCTTTGTTTTGGAAGTGTCCTTTTTCAACTGGTTTTCCAGAAGGGCTCCCTCAAACATCACATATATATAATATATTATACATATGTTTGAGTGCCCTTATCTAAGCCATAGCTGATCAGGGTTTCTGCGAACCAATGGCCCAGGAGATGTCGCGCTTCCAGTCCCATAGTAAGCAACCAGTAGCCGCCAAATCTTGCAACATAGAATGGGTACCAACATGGGAACTCCGGACCAGAAAAAGCCTGGCTGATTTTGATCCCGCGTCAGAAGGGGAATACCTTCGCTGTGGAGCGAAAATGTGCACGTTGGGACAGGCGAAATCCGATTTGGGCACTTGGATGAACCACCAAACCCAACTGACGTCTGCAGATTTGTCTATCCACTGTATCCACCACTTGTGCGTTGCAGGGGTGGACTTTGGTATCTGCTTGCGCCATGGGCACCATCATTCCCACCTGTTGTGGCCCGATAAATAACTGCCAAGTTGCTTAAAGATATATATATATATATAAATTAGGTGCCGTTATTTTAACCATATTTGTTTCATGATTCGCCTGTTCACGGGACGGATCTGGGTCAAAGTGTGCGAATATTTTGCGTATTTTCCCTTGACTAAAATAACAAGAAGACATCACGTACCTACATCCTAACAACGGCCAAGTTCTGATTCGCACCGGTCATTGATGAAGCCCTGGGATACATCACCGAACAGCCGGAGGATTTTGGCCATCCAGGCGTAGGGTTGCGGGGTCAACAAAGGCACGGGGGGGGGTCCTACGAGAATATTTGGCAGGCTGAGAACCCGGAAGACGACTCCACTCTGAAGTACACTTTGTACCACGGAGGTTGGAAGGCGCCGGGGTGTTTTTGCGTATTGTTGGTTGTGGTGAATGTTTCTTTGGAATTCGCATGTGTTGTGCTGCATTGTTTGTTCTTCTTAAGATGCAATCACTGTGCTTGATGATTGTGTGCTTCTTCTGTTGCTTCTTGTTCTTCCTTTTCTCGGGGACTCCTTTAGTCTGCTGTTTCAAGGGAAGCTACAAGGACGCCCATTTGTAACGTCAACCTCGGATTTCCGGGGGACCATTTTAATCAGGCATGGTTCCCTTCGAACTTTCAGCAAGGAAACGAGACCTATTTTAGAGGGGTCCTCTTGTCGTAGGGTCCTCCGTTTTTCATCGCGGTTGGCATTATGGACCCAGTTGGAACACATGGCTCCCCTGGTCCCTTTCGCTGCAGACCCCACAGGGCGGTTTGCAAATGGTTGCTCCGCAACGAAACCTCCGCAGAAAGAAAGTCACAAGGCTAGAGAATTGGCCGTCGTTTTTTTGGATTTTTGGTCTTGGGGGGGGTGTTAAAGTGAAACCAACAGAAAACCCCACCATTTGGCTTCCGGAAAGACACCCACTCCAGTCGGGTCTTTGGAGCAACGCTGCCAGATTTTGTCCGTCTCAAAATGACGACAACTCCATGTCGGCGACTTATTTTCCATAAATGACAACGCCTAGCGCCCATCTTGAACCGTAGCCTTTTGCCTTGCCCTAAGGATGATTAAGCCTTTAAGGTTGTTAAGTGCCACTAAAAAACGGTCAGCCTGAAACAACCCTGGTCCCTTGCCTGAAGAAGTCTCCCGGCAGGACAGCATGCCGGACGGCTTCGGCGTGCAGCACTTCGAGGGGGCGCGACCGCCGTCCGAGCGATCGCGAGCACAGCGAATGTGGCGCTGGTTGGCGGAAGGAATATGATTGTGGGTCAAAACCAATGGGATCCCATTTTGGGGGCAGGTGCACCACTCATTTTAGTCTATTTTAGTCGGGATTGGGATGTTCACTGGGGTACGGGATTTTGACCCATGGTCATAGGTCCATGGGTGACTCCCTTTTTTGTGAGGGCACCAATCAGTTAGGCGGTTTAAAGGGAAACCAACAGATTGGGCTGTTTTAAAGGAACACCAAAATGAACCCACCTAGTTTAGGGGTTCCCCCATTTAAACACAAACCCATGTGAACCCTTGGTTGGTTCATGAAGGGAAACCAGCTCAAGAAGGGTCCAACATGGCCATGGGTTCAGATATGAACCTATACAACCAGCCTTTGAGTGTTTGCGTGAATTTCAACGAGCTCGTTTGGCAGCAAACAAGCGAAACCACATGAAGGTCCTTTACCTGAAAATGCCTTGTTTCTGGTTCATGTGTATTTGAAGAGAAAAGGTCCCGTCCTGATTGATTTCAAGCAAAAGCGCAGGTTCTCTTGCAGGGCTTTCTCAAAATGATCCAACAACCGTCGACAATTGGCAGAAGGGGGGTCTTGTTGTTTCCACTTGGGGCTGAATTTCTACCTGCGATCGGATCTTTGGAGCCCTGATGATTGGTTGGACTTTGGACCCTACTTTGGTTGGCCTTTTCCAGGGACCAAAAAGGGTCTTTGAAGAGTTCCTACCCTAGGCCAGGTTGGAGGCTTGTGGTGTGGAGGGAACTCAGTCTAAGCTTTCTTCAAGGAATCAAAAGGACGGCCACAAATTGGGGGCCCCCTATCTTGACACATAGCCAGGGATCCTGTTGCGAGGCCCAGGTGGAGCAATTGATGGGCGCCCACGGCGGCACCTACACCGGGGACTTCTTGCGTGGCAAGCGCTGGGCGCCCAGTGGCCGAGAAAGGCGCTGAGGCTCCGAGGCCAAAGGGGCAAAGGCTCAACCAAATCGCTCGGCGGTTCTTGCTCACTTTGCGGAATATGGGCGTGTCCTCTGTCCTCCAAACTAGGAAACTCATAAAATGGCACTCGGCAGCGTCATCGCTGCCCGAAGGCTTTTGTTTTTTGATATTCAGAGTCCCTTTGCTTCCAGGTATGCTTACCTCATAGTCTTGCATGGTTCCAGTGGTTGCCTTCTCTGGATTGCCTGGAAGCACTGAAACGGAAGCACTGAAACTCAGATTGAATGCCTCAAACCCACTCCCCTGCCGCAGGTCACGGGCGCGGTGTGTGGAAGACTCTCCAGGGTGCCTGGGAGTGCCCCGGGATTTGTCCCGTTTCCGCAAGGTCGAGTTGCGGCGAAAGAATTTGGCGCCCTTCAAATGACAACCGAAACCCAATCTTTTTCTCAGGTCTCTTCAGACAAATGTGATATTTGAAGGTTGACTAAATATCAAATGAACTTTGATTATCATATTTTAGTCATTGTCATATGTTTGGTGTGCTGCGCCAAGTTTGGCGTCTACTGCCCTTGTTGTTGGGCTTTAGAAAGGGCTAGATAGGCCTTGCTGGCTGGCTGGCTTTACTTCAGTCAATTTATTTTGGCTTTCTTTCATCAGGTACAAATTGTCTAGCCTTCGAGGGTCTTGGGAGCAGCGCAACTCTAAAAAGGGTTTCTCTCTTGGGGCAACCATCTTTTGGCGAGTTGAACACCAGACCTCTTCAGGCTGAGCCTTTGGTCCCTTGTCTTTTTCTTGTGGAGTGGCATTTGACAGTCTTTCGGTATTTATTTTGTTAGTTCATGTCAAGATCCCGCTTGAACGTTCAACCCACTTAAGTAGATTGTAACCCTGGTTGTAAGGGAACCAACCTGGTTGTTCCATTTTTCTGCCCATGGTCATATCCTACTAAGTGGGTTGAACGTGCAAGGTGACCACCTTTGTCCGGCGTAACCGGCAGGACCCGTTCACCTTCATTTGGGTGTGTCCGTCTTTTTTGTCGTTTTGATGGATGCTTTTCGGGGTAGTTCTTTTTTTCAGGGCAACCAAAGGAGGACTTCGACACAAATGCCATTTTTACAGCCCAGCGATTTCCCGTGGTTTTGTTCATGAGGTACCGGCCCATTGGCACAGAGACGGTGCCCAACTGGGAGAACGCACCTCGGCTGTCAAGATGTGTTGCTTTAGTGTCGATTTTATTTGTTGTTGGTGTTGTTTGGGTGTTTGTTCTTTGTTGTGTGTGTGTGTGTGGTGTGTATGTTTCATTGATTGGTTGTGACTTATTTGTGGTTCTTTGTGTGATTGGTTCTTGTGTGTGTGTGGGCAGAGTTTTTTTTTTTTTTTGTTTCTTTTCGTGCTTGGTTTGCTTATTTGTTTGTTTCTTTGTTTGGTTGGTTGGTTGGTTTGTCGTTTGTTTGTCTGTTTCGTTGTTTGGTTGTTTGTTTGTTTGTTTGTTTGTTTGTTTGTTTGTTTGTTTGTTTGTTTGTTTGTCAGTTTCATTTTTGTTCTCTTTCTTTTTTGTGTGTGTGTGTGTTTGGTTGTTGGTTTGTTGGTTGGTTGGTTGGTTGGTTGGTTGGTTGGTTGGTTTGTTTGTTTGTTTGTTTGTTTGTCTGTTTCTCTTTTTGGTGTGTGTGTATTTGGTTGTTGGTTTGTTGGTTGGTTGGCTGGTTGGTTGGTTGGTTTGTTTGTTTGTTTGTTTTTTTGTTTAATAGATGGTTTTGTTATTTGTGTTTGTTTCGTTGCGTCGTGTGCTTGTTTGTCTGTCTGTCTATTTGTCAGTCAGTCTGTCAGTTTGTCTATCTGTCTGCTGTCAGGTTGGCTGTGTTGTGGTGTGGTGTGGTGTGGTGTTGTGTGCTTGTGTTGTGTGTTTGTTTGTCGGCTTGCTTGTTTGGTTGTTTGCGTGTTTGTTTGTTTGCTTGGTTGTTTGGTTGTTTGTCTGTTGTGCCTGTTTGTGTGTGTTTTTTGTGTTATTGTTTGTGTATGTGTGTGTTTGGCTTGTTTGTTTGATTAGTTCATTGATTTGTTTTGTTGATTCGATGCTTGTTTGCTTGTTTTCTTGCTTGCTTGCTTGCCTCTTTGTTCTTGCTCAAGCTTTTTAGCTCTACGTACTCGTTTCTCCCTTCCAGGGATCTACGAACACCAAGAACTTGGGTGATATCCAGGCATCCCCAACAGCTCAGAGCCTAGGGAAAAAATCCTCGAAGCCTTTGGGGAAGAATGTTGGGTGAAACAACGGTAAATCCGATTTGAGAGAGTTCGGCAAAGTGGCGAGCCTTTGTGTTCCTGGCTCATGGCTCTGGTTCGAAGTTCGGATGGTTTTAAAAGCCACCCCAAAGGTTCCTGCTGTTGACACCTGCTCCGGTGTAACTCCTGGGCGGTGGCTTTACAAGGCTCTTGTGGCAAAGCCTCCCTCTGAGTTCCAGGGTCTTTACCTAGCTTTTTTCCACAGGGTACGACGGGTGGGAAGTCGTTCTGTTTGCACACGAGGCACCGTGAACCCTGTTCAGGAAGAATGTAGGTTCATTCGACGACCACAGGCCTCACTCCCCCCCCCCCCAGCAAAAAGGTCCCGTGAAGGTTCAGAGGGCGACTAAGTTGCCAAACAGCTGTGGCTCAACATAAAGCGAAAGGGTTACGCAGGTGTTAGTCTTTGCTTCCATTTGCCAAGGTGACATTTTGGGTGTCATTTTTTGAGCCACGGCCAAATGAAGCCTCAACAGTTGGGATGGTTTATTGGGCTTGGTTTACCGGTTCCCTGAACCACCACTTCCAACGGGACTATCCGTGAACCCCAGACACCCGGTTCCCCTTGTTTGTTTCGTTCTTTCTTCGACAGAAATGATGAATTGCAAAACGAGGTTCCTGTTTTTACCGGGATCATTGGGCCACTAGTTGGACCTGAAAACCATGCACCTTCAAAACACCATGGCCAAAACGCCCCATTTGGGTAGTTTAAGGCACCCCATTTTGATGATGGTCTAAAGGGAACCTGAAGTTTGACACCACCCTGTTTGGGTCCTCTTTCAAGTGGGTGGGTTCCGTTTGATTCCCTTTGAGCCCACCCCAGCAAGGGTTTCAGCGAAAACGACCCAGCAAGGGCTTCAGCGAAATCCGAGCCACTTGGGGCGGGCAAGGGGTGTGAGCAGAGTACATATAGCCAATAATCGCGGTGGGATGAGCTTGGGATCCACAATGAAGGCGTGTTACTTGGGGATTCCTTGCTTCCGGTTTGTGTTGAAATTTGCCCACGATCTTGGCATTTATAATTTATAGATCCCTTTGGATCCCAGCTACCCCTCAACGTTGGTAGCTTTGTAAAGGGTGGTTCTCTTGGTTACCAGGGACATGGAATTTGTGGGGATTGCCACTCGAATCCCATCGATCGGATTTCTCAGGACCTCATGCACGGCATTGGCATCGTGGAAGACAGCGACCACGTGCACGAAAACGCGGGGAGCCCTGGGTTTCTCGAAGAGACCCCGATGCAGAACTCCGTTGAAAACCCGCTTCGGAAATCCAAGAAAGGAACTCCAAGGAACTCCTTGAGGATATGGCTGTCAAATCGGGGCCGGGGTAATTAGCCCAATAGTTAGCCCAATAGTTAGCCCAATGTTTTATGTTTTTCCTATTTGTTTCCCTTTTAGATATTGCACACTCTGCCAACCATAGTGATGAGAGAGCTTTTCCTGCCACAGGATCTACCCTTTTCGGCCGCCCACCCCAAAGGACCACAGCATTTGGGTGCTTCATCGGCAGACTGTTGTTGTCAGGGTTTTGGCGAGCTTCCTAAAGGGATGCTGCAAATGTGATACTCCAACAATAACAACCGTCCAGTTGTTGTCCCGTCAAACCAAAAAAAAAGGGTACCCTCAAAAAACACACACCCAGTTATTTCCAACTCGACAGCCTTCCCCGGCCCCAATTTTAAGACTTGATGACCCGGAGACCAAACCATCTTCAATCGAATCGACAGGTTTGTTTGCAGATTTCCGGGATCCCGCTTGCACACCTCTCGCGATTGTAACTTGAACGAGCCGTAGGCCAACTAGGGCTGACTGGTTCTTAAGTGACTCAATAATTGTATTTTCCCCAGATACAATCAATCCGGCACCAGCAGATCTCCCAGTTGAAAACAAAGTCAGAAACCTGGCCGGGCTGTCAGATTTGATTGCTTCCCCCCAATAGATCCCAGTTACTATAGCAGGTAACCCTTAGCCATGTTCCTTTTGGTTTTGAAAGGCTCGTCCCGTTTGTCGCTGCTAGCTGATGCGGATCCTCGCTTCTCCCCTGAAACCTGCGCGGCTCCGTGACGCCTTGCGAACGGCCGAGCAGACACTTTTGAAGTTCCGAACTAGCTGTCCGGAGAGGTCGGACTAGTGGCCGTCGCCAACCTCCACAGTTGGAGCGCGCATGGTGTGAATCGCGTTTTTGCGATTCACGGCAACCACTCCCAAGAAGCAAAAACAGGAAGCACGCTGCTTCTACTCACACAAGAAAGGTGTGGATAGGTGTGGATTGGTGACGGGGAATTCATGACACCATGGGAAGATGTGCTCCATCAAAGCGTGTGGGTCCACGCTTGTTTTAAAGGTCCCTTCCGTCAATCTGAAGAGTAAACAAGTCTACCAGACGCCATAACGTCCTGGCCTTCTGTCACTGCTTGGGTCATGATTTGGATTCTTTTGGGGGTTGCAGCCTGGCATAAGGGCCTAGTCCATTTGAATGATCTGCGGGGAGTACCTGAAGTCTCCTTCCAACCCTTCGTCACCCTGAGCGTGCGGTTTCCAATTAATATAAACATGCGGAAGCTAAGCTTGGAAAGGTGTGCATTTGCCTTTGCATTTGCATCTGCGACGCAATGGCGATCAATGGCGTAGAGAACGTTTGTCAAACAGGTTACATTGTGCAACAAACAACTCGAGAAAAATAAACTAAACAAAGCAAACATACAAGCCTATGCGGAGTGGCTCCAGGATTTTGGACTCGAGGTCTGTATTTGTTTTTGTTTCGTGCTTGTTGGTGTTCTCAAGGTTTTTACACTTTTCAAATAAATGCAAACATAACAAGTCCGAAGAACAACACGAAACACAAAAAGGCAACAATAACAACAAAAGCACGGATCACAAGAACGAACGCCCCATTAGGCAGTGGTTCCAGGATATGGGACATGCGGTCTGTTGGTTTTATGGAGCAGCCGTTGTTACGTCATGTTGCGTATTTCCGGTTTCAGGCCTGTGTGCAAGAGCCTCGGTGTTTAGTTCACTTCGACACCTTGGAACAGTATTGAATGTTAAGTGATTTGTAAGGAGCAACATATTGGAAGGGAAATCATGTGTGACTTGTAAATAGAATGCTTATTATTTTAATTCCAATTAGAAAATACATTCTGTTTGGATGATTTCCTTATGACATGATTGAGTTTCGGTTAGACATTGACTGAAACTTGGTAAAGATATGATGTAGAATTCACATCGCAAGAACAGCATTCAGAGGTTTCAAAATTGGGTTTGTCTAGCCCTAAGCACTACCATGGTCACAATCCAACGGCCTCTCTTTAACATCAATTAGATGTTAAATAGGATTTAAATGGGACTCACTACGCAAACAAGCATTCCGCATCCTACAGGAAATCATACCTTAAATGTATCATTCAGACAGAACTGCTTTTGCAATAGAACCTGTACAAACCAATAATAGTTTATATAGAGATGTTTTTAAGGCACTGATAAATCCAGTTATATGTTCTATTTCAGATTATACATTATATTACAATTACTGTTGTTCAAATTGCATCTTTCGCAGGATGCGCTGTCCAATGAATTTGCTTTACAAATGTGTCAATATTTGAAATCAATTTATTCAATCAGAGTTCAACGCCAATTCCCATTCAAATGTCCTACAGTCATAGACCGACGATTGAGGAATCATGATCAACCATCTCTTAAGAGTCTGATCCCAACAATCGGCCAGATAGAAAAGTTATATGGGGCAACGTACCCGGCGGAGTCTCCAAAGGGACCTTGAAAGGTAACCGGAAAGCCATCCATGCTTTGAGGATTATTGGCAAATGCGCAGGAGCCTATTTGACCAGAGCAAATGGATCGCAAAGCAGTTTCCATTCCAGCTATGGGGTTTGGGTTTCGGTGAACCACTTGAACCTATTGAGGTCATCTACACCAAGGGCAAGTGCCAGATGCCCTTTACCGAGCTTGGGCCTCCCAAGACAGGCTGGGACTGTCCACGAAACACCGTGAATCTTCTCCCGAGTTGGGAGTAAGAACCCAGGTCCACCGGATGAAGGGGAATTTGTGGCAGTCATATGGCTATGATTCTTAATACCCTCCCAAACAGGTGGATATAAATCCCCACCTAAGTGATGTCCACTGGGTCCCCATCAGATTCACACCCATATGGTTGTGTCTTTTTGGAGGGAACACTGTTTAGGGTGAGTTTGTTTAAGGGAATCTGTTTTCGGGGTTTAGTGGGAACCCCCCCCCATATTGGCTCCCAGCTGTTCCGAACTCTCCTCGTTTGAGCGAAACAAAGAAGAAGGAACAAGAGTACCAGGGCCAGCTATAACTGGACTTTGCTCCATCCCAGCTCGCTCGTACTTAGTCGCAGCTTCTTTGTTTGCCCAACAATTTCCCCCAAGATACCTTCCTGTCCTCCAGGATGCCTCAGTCAGCTTCCAATTGGGTTTTCATATCTTTGTAATTCATTTTTATTACACCTTAGAACTGAAGCCTAACATGCATGGGATCCAAGTTGTCCTGCTGGCAAATGGCTACACACGGCCGTTGGAGGGGGACGCCAGCGGGGACTGGGGACAGAAGACTTCCGAGAGCAATCCCAACACTCCCCTCCATTTCTATATGTGCCCAACACCAACCTGGCAAATCTTGCCAACTTTGAGAAACTTCAAAGCTTAAGTTGAAACAATTATGTATTGTATGTTGAACAAGGGTCTTGGCTCCATGTTCGAACACCCCCTTGGTCGAACAAGCCAGCGCCACGCAGGCTTCGAGAGCGCCGCCTTCAGCGAAGTGATGCCGCAGGATCGAGAAACCGGTTTGGAGGATCCCCACCCAAAGAGGGGCACCCCAAAAAACATCCGACCCCTAATTACACCCCCCGCCAAAAAAACAGACGTAATAAGGGGTTTCTGTTTGAGAGGGGATAGTACAAATAAGGGAACCCCTGCAAACACGCAATTTGTTAGCGCGGAAGGGACAGTTTCAGCAGACCCCTGAAACTCAAGGGGATTGAAGAAAGAAAAGAGGACCCCTACTGTAACACCCCAAAAGTGGGAGGTGTTGTATGGGAAACCTTTAACCTTTAATTTTTGAGGTTTCTAAGAAGGGACACCCTCCATGCCTAAGGTTTTGTTGGAACGCTGGGTGGCAAGGATTCACAAACAGGCAAGGTTGCACATCACACATCTACCAGCTGAGTTTGAGGATCCCCTGTGACGCATGTAATTTTGGAATGTATCTTATGGGGAACCTATGGAACGTTGGGTTCTAAGGCAAAGCCTCAACATTGTACGGGGACTTAACTCGAAGGGATGTGCCCAGAAATCGACTGCTCTTGTATTTTTACGAGTTCACGTAGGGGAATCCTGTATGTACCGTTTGCCAGATACACGGGAAACACGGGGGAAAAAACAACTCCAAAAGGTGGTGTTCCTCTGTTTTCTTTCTTTGAAACACCCCAACAAGAGTACCCTCAAACACACACAAAGACAAAAGCACAGACACGCAGACACCAATAGTGAGAATTCGGAAACACATCAACGACAAATGTTGCTTCGGCCAGGCGAACCGAAAGCGCGCCTTTGTCACGCCCTTGCCCACGGTTTGGGATGAACAGGCGCGCCGCCGCAACTGGGCGTCGAGTCCTCTCGCAGGTTGAGCAAGGTGGCTTGACTGAGGGTACCCTTTTGGGCGTGTTGGATTTGGAGTCGGTACGACCCAAAGGGAGTTGTTGTTTTTGTAGGTGCTCTAAAGGAACCGCCATACACCTTCTTTTTGTGGGAAGGGAAACAGGAGGCTGCGCGTGTTTCGCAGCTTTCACGTTGAGCATATTCCAATGAGACAGGTCCCAGGTTTCCCTCGAGCACGGTGTCACTAGGGGACATTCCTGAAAGCAAGAACCAACCTTGCCCGTATTCCCTAGAATTAAGCCAAAGTGTCCGACTAAACCAGCTCAAACGTCGTCCGCTTTCCTGTTTGATTGCTTGCTTGTTTGTTCGTCTGTTTGAAGCAAGTCTTTGTTGTAGGCTCATTGTGGGTGCGGAGCGGGATGCACTTTCGGGGAGGTTAGGTAAGACTGGCACCCTTGTTTAGAATGGAGCCTCTGGTTCGGTCCCCCGTTTGTTTGGCATTGCCATACTTTGTAATCTAAGCAACGAGTTTGTCTCTGCTATTGATTCTCTGCACATCAAAGCCTGCGAATGTTTTGCACACTTGTCCCCGGTTCAGCCGCCGTTGTGTGTCTGCGCATGTCTGCGCGTTGCAGGACAACTGCCTTTGACTCTTGACCAAGTCCCAAAGCCAAACAAAGGACCCCTCCATTGCCAGCGCAGACACCCACAATGCAAGGCGGTTCCTTGATGGTTCAGCACCTACGGTTTTCCGATCTTTTGGGGAGGCTCTAAATGGGTTGTTTTGAGGGGTTGGTTTATGTTTGGCGTTGGAAGGGGGTCTGCGTTGGAGGGATAACGGGGGCCCTGGCAAAATGCAAGCCCACGTTTTAGGCTTTGCTCCTATGTCAGCGTTGATCAACGGTGTCTCGATCACTTGGGGTAGCTAGGCAGGCTCGTCATTTATTCGTGGGATTGGACCCACAATGCGTTCCCTTGGCCATTTTGGCCTTTTTTTGCAGCTGGTTTCCACACTTGCAGAAGCCAGTTTAAGATGGAAAACTACAGATCAGGAGTTCATACTCGTAGATGCTGCTCCAACTAGCCCCCCCCCCCCCCGCCGTGTTTGGCGCGAACTTGCCTTGACCAGGAAAATAACCCAGCCTGGACCGCGCTGCTCAAGAGCTTCGGGTACAAACTGAAGAAGGTCCCGGATGAAGGCAACCGGCTAAGGGTGTGGGTAGGGTGGCATACGGTGGGGATGGGGCAGGGGTGCAGGCAGGGGTGGGGCTGGAGGGGCTTTCTCTTGCCCAGCGGACAGTAACTCCCGGGACTAAAGAACAGGCGGTTGACCTGGGGGAGATCGTTCGAACATGGGAACTCGCCTCTGAGGGGTACCCGCATGTCCATTCGAAGTTAATCGAATTGTCTCGATGTGTTGCGGAAGGGTCCTAGTGCTATGTGTGTTTTGCGGGAGTATCCTCCGTGGTTGTGGGGTAATTGTCAACCACTTTGCCTGGGTTGTTCAACATCAAGGCTTTATCCGTTTGCCAGCTGGTGGTGGTTTCTCTTGCTGTAGCGGCAAACTGCTGATTTTGGATTCGGATTACGGATCTCCCCCATTTTGAGCAACCCGCTTTCCCAGACCATGGTGTCGCAGTTCTACACTTGTACAGTTGTCCCTTAAGCGATCAAACCCCGATTCGTGAGTGCACAAACGAACTAGGGAACACCACCTGCTTTCATCGAGGCTTAGGCCGACCTGCCTAAATCCAAAGGGTTCCTTAGTCATGGCTTAGAAAGATTCGCGGACCCTTTATTACAACTAGGTTCATGTTCCTTTAGCTTCCCGCCAGCCAAATGGCTACCTTGGAGACTTAGAAACAACGTAGTTTGGCTTGTTGTCTGGTGAGCAACAAAGCAGGGCTTAACGATCTGTTTCACCATAACGAGCAAACTAGCAAGCAGGAGATCTCGCGTCGCCAGCCAGCTCTTCTTGGTTTACTCCTGCCTTCCCGCCTTCCCGTTGGAGCCCCGCAAGCTGTGGCTCGAGAGCCGCCGGGGCTCCGGGGGCGGCTGCCGCGGGGTTCGCATCGCGCCGGGCTTCCGCGCGATGCCAGGCCGGGGTTTTCGGACGGGGAGGGCGACGAAGATCATCGTTGCCCAAATCGATTGAACCCAATCTGTCCTTTTGGTTCTCTAGTTTTAGCCAGGGTCCCAAAAACCTGTTGTTTCCAGGTCCTTTGGCCTTATAAGTTGGGGTCTTGATCTTGGGGAAACAGGGGCAGAGGTGCGGGGGAGTGGGATTGGCATAGTGTGCAAAACGCCAAGCAGGAACCAAGGCATCCCAAAGTAAGGGTCTTCATCATGCGTTGTCGCTTGGTGTGTTTCCAAATCCGTGAGCGCGCCATAGAACGGGCAGCCTTTTCGGAGGTTGAATCCTGACAGTAAAGCCGGCGGAGCAGGGGGGCTGTTTCAAAGTGTAGCTGCTATGGTTTGTAGCAAGCTGCGTTTCCCCTTCTGTTTTCTTTATGTATTTGTTGCGTTCTTTCCTTTCTTCCTTTTTTTCTTTCCTTCTTCCTTTCTTTCTTTCTTTCTTTCTTTCTTTGCTTTCTTCCTTTTTTTCTTTCCTTCTTCCTTTCTTTCTTTCTTTCTTTCTTTCTTTCTTGCTTTCTTTCTTGCTTGCTGGCTTGCTTGCGTGCTTGCTTGCTTGCAGGTAGTATACTAAAATTGTACAGAGATTTGAACCCATTTGGGGGTACGTGGATCATTTTTCGATGTATATCGCCTGTGGGTGTTGGTTTCATGGGAAACCAAACGGACTCACAACCGTTTTTGTTTTTTTATGTACCCCTATTTTGAGACGCGCTTTTTGTGTGTCCCTATTTTGCGTACCACCACGTGTGGATAAACCTGCCTGGTCATGCTGCCCGAATTTTCCGAATGAGGCCGGCGGAGCCGCAGCTACAGAGGCCGCAAGGGATCCCAGAGGTATCGGGGGGGGGGGGGGCATGTTGGCGGGGCCCCTAAAGACAAGACAGACCCATCGAGCGAACATTTTGAAGATTCTCAAGCTACTTTTGGAGATTGTTCCCCCAAAAATAAACCACCGTTCAGAGGGTATTGTTGAGGAAGTCATAATTTTCATGGGCCCAACAATTAGGCAAGTGGCGGAAATCATGATGGGGAAAGCCTGGAGGTAAGAAACCCTGGTCCCAGAGGTAAGAAAACTTAAGCCGTTGCCTGCGTATTTAATTGATTTCGAGCGCCTGGGGGCCCCAAATTTGAAAAGCGCAGACACCATCCTCCCCAGCTCACAGGAAGTTCTCGCCCGTTGATCAGGACCTGCTGGCCCATTGCATGCGCTTGTTGCACATCTTCGTTACATACTACCTCACATTAACAAAACCGCCTGGCTGATTGGCCCTCGTTGCATGCCCTGATGCATACCACAGCACGCATTCGTCAACTTGCAGAGACCTTGCCATTCGTCGCAGGTAGCAGAGAGGGGCTGACAGAAAGAGTATTCTTTGTGTGCTATACTTCACTACACAGTCAGTACATACCTAGTTACATACCCGACCTCAGCCCAGGCCAGCGACCCCTTGTTTTGCCAGCACCTGGCTTACGCTGATTAGCAAAAGCTTTCGAGCTGGAGTTGCGGAGGCGCTTTGCGTACTGCACTTGTGCTGAGTAGTTCTGACTTTCTTGCTGGAGCTGCGGAAATGCACGTTGTTGTGCTGCACTGCGTGGAAAACTTGCGACTTTCGAGCTGGAGCTGCGGAAGTCGTCCAGGGAAACCCATTTTGGGGTTGCCCTATTTTGGGCCCACGTCCTTTTGGTACCCCCCTTCGCCGAGGCCGCAGCCGCAGCCGCAGCCGGCGGCGCGACTCCCGCAGCCGCGATCGCCGCGAGGCGTGCGGGAAGCCGACGGGTCGCGGAGGGCCGTGGCGCATGGAGTAGTTTTTGTTGTTTGTTTTGTGTTGTGTTGTTTTTGAAAATTCATTTAACAATTTCAGTCGTTTTAGTTATAAACAATGCAACCCAGTGGGTTCGCATAGAAACTGTTTTTCTCTTTGACAGCTATGGAAGTGAGGGCTTTAGAAGATGAACCAACCGCGCTCTTTGAACAGGACCTTTGATTTCCGTCTATCATCTGCCCGGAGTTTTCGAGCCTTCGGTATTAGCAACAGCTTGCTTTGCCCTGTTTCTTCAAGCGGAAGGAAAGCTAGAAACACATGTCTTCTTTGCCGCGATGGCGAGAGCAGAAATCATGGAGGCTCCACTCCTCCCTAGATCGTGTATCAAATGACTCAAGTTGTGTTTTTTGCAAGTTTCAGAATGGTTTGTTCAGGAAGGAGACCCCATGCGTTTAGGTAGATGTGCTTCGGGTGAATTCAGTGGCGGCATTAAGCGCTACCGACTACATGGTGGTATGAAAAATACCACTATGTACTCCCGCTGAGCGTAGGGGTCGTATGGTTCTGGGATAGTAGCAAACCTGGAATGCTGTTTGCGGCTCAACCATGTCTGCCATAACTTGTAGTGTCGAGGCGAAACCAAAGGTGGGTGGAGGGGGGGGGGCGGGATCTTTTGCTTATCCTGAATAATCCTGGGGTAGCCCCCCATAGGCCTCTCCAAGAGTCCATGAAATAACGAGCGAAATGCATCCAACCCCCTCCTTACCACCTAGTTGGGTATGCCAACTGCGTGTTACTCGCGGTTGGCTTTGTTTGGCCCTCAACCGTCGCCATTTGAAGGCTGCATGCGGAATATCCATGTGAAACTCATGCTTCCCCCCTTTGGGAACCATGGGTCCCAATAATGCAATAATTGCAAAATCCGGCACTCACAATTATTGCAATTATTATTTATGTTGTTTGATTATTTTTGCACTTCAAATCCAATGTTTGCAGTCATTGCAATAATCACAATAGTTAATTCATCCCAGATTTGGCCCCAATACTATCGGGTTGGATCTTTGGCCATTAACGTTCCGGAAAATGATGATGTTTCTCACTGAACAGCAAAAAAGATAGCCTTGATTTTGTCACAAACCCAGCTAGGTATTCAGGTTTCCACTTTCTGTGACAATGAAGTCCCCTTTGACAAGATGAAATAGTGAACGGCATGACAGAGTTTTGGCATCTAGGGAAGGAGGATTTCCCACCACGCCTGAAACCCTTCCTTGCTTCCGTAGGCCACCAGTTAGAGCTTGCCTTTGAGCCCCCAGTCTTCCAATTGGGGCGAGTCCAAAGAAAAAATGCAAAATCGGTTCCTGCGTGTGTATTCCTTCGGCCACTTACCTTTTTTTTAATCACCACAGGCAACTGTATGTTCCCTGTTAAACTTTAAATGGAACTAAGGGAGGGCCTTTGGAATTCATGTGTATTCATTCCCTTGTCCCAAAGGAGGCAGTACCCTGAGCCAGCGAACCGCCCAACGCGAAAAAATGAGTTCTAAAGACCCAATATTGTAAGACATGGGGAACGTTGTGAGAAGATGTTTGATATTGCGACAGGGCGTGTCAACAGCGAGCTGGGGTTCTTCAGGGCCGAGAGTTCAATTGGGCCATGTTGTGGTCCTAGGGCCAAACTTCTACTTACATGCCCAGAGCCGACCCTTTGACCTTTTGGTTTCCCAATTTTGGTCCATTTCAGTCATGGCCCCGAAAGGTCAACCTTTTATTTCTGGGTCCTTTGGGCAACTGAGTCTACCCTTGTGACAACGGGTCTTGGGAACGCTCCAAAACGTTTCGGATAGGAGGATCGCCGGCCTCGCCGGGAAATGGGCAGAATACCTCCGCCCGCCAAGAAGGCGGGTCCCGGCTTGGATTTGGGTTTAGGCTCGCTCCCTTCGATTCAATTGGGTCAGACAAGGAGAGATGGTCAAGTGTGGGGTTTGTTGGCAACCGTGCGTTTGCTAAAGTAGCCAGGAGGGCACCCAGGGTTTTGCCATGGGATGGTTACCAACGCCCTCAAGGGAACATGAGGTATTCTCAAAGATTGTTTGTTCGTTTAATGTTTTTTTTCTCCTGATTTTCCGGGGGGGGGGTCCTTGAAAACAACATGTTGAGTCTCATTTTGAGGAGTTTAGCTGAACGGGTCCATGGTAATCAGGGTTCCAAATGACTTGCCGGTGTTCAGAGTATTCTCAGGGGGTTGGCACACCCAGAAGGGGATCCCCTCAATTGAGGAGCGCCCACAACCCGCATTGGCCATTTTACTAGAGGGTTCCCTACCTGCTTGCATCGTGTTGCTAGTAAATCCTTTATAATCATCTTAGTAGACTTGAAATTATATGTTGTAAGCAGGAAATTCGACCAGAAAACCCTGCTTCCAATTGAAATGCCGGCTGATTTCTATGAGTTGTAGGCGCTGCTCAATTGAAACAATAACATACATGTGTTTGCATGTGTTTTGGTGTGTGGGTGTGTTGTGTGGGTGTTGTTGGTCTGTGTCTGTGTCTGGGTTTGTGCCTGTGTGCGTGCGGTTGTGTGTGTGTGTGTGTGTGTGTGTGTGTGTGTGTGTGTGTGTGTGTGTGTGTGTGTGTGTGTGTGTGTGTGTGTGTGTGTGTGTGTGTGTGTGTGTGTGTGTGTGTGTGTGTGTGTGTGTGTGTGTGTGTGTGTGTGTGTGTGTGTGTGTGTTGTGTGTGTGTGTGTGTGTGTGTGTGTGTGTGTGTGTGTGTGTGTGTGTGTGTGTGTGTGTGTGTGTGTGTTGTGTGTGTGTGTGTGTGTGTGTGTGTGTGTGTGTGTGTGTGTGTGTGTGTGTGTGTGTGTGTGAGAGTTGTCGTTTGTGTTTTTGTGTCCACCCAAACGATGGGGGTACCCCCCCAAATAACAAACAGCAAAGGCAAAAACAAAGAGAAAAACAACCCAACAACAAAAAAGAGAAGAGCAACACCCCCAACAAACAACAAGAGCAAAACACAGCAGCACAAAGCAAAGCAAGCAAACAAGAGGTTTTGCTCCCCGCTCCGCCGCGCGACAGGAAGAGCCGGAGGAGGGAGCGGGGGGCTCAGAAAGCCAACCGGTCGAGAGCGAGCGGTTGCCACTTGTTTCTTTTATGTGGGGGGGCCGACTTTGGGTTGGTGAGCGAAACCAGGTCGCTGATCGCCACGACATTGATTGTGGAGCCGAACAGTGGTTGCATCTTGTGAAAGAAGTCCACCCAAGCACTCCACCCAAGTACATAAAACATACGTATGTTGGTGGGGAGCCCCCTTTGGGTAGGTTTTAAAGGCAAAACGACAGGAATCCCTGCAAGACAAATACATTATCCAGTTCACTGCATTCCGCGTCATACTCTCTCGCATGTTGATGAGAGCCCGAATACCGACAGTATTGGAGATTTGGGTCTTCTTTGGGAAAACCTTTTGTAGGTGTCAATTGAATTTGCAGGGGAGTACTGGCTCTGCCGCCGCGGCAATATTGACCATCTGGTGTTACCCATTTTGAGACCAACCCATATCCGTTCATGCTATATAACGCGACCTGGCCACATCTCGCCCGTCTTTTTTGGAGGGACGTGTTGGCCGTGAAAGTGTGGCGACAGGGTATGTCGCCTCTACTTCTCTCCAACACATGGATTTGTGCACCGAAACCTTGGGCACCAGGACCCCAGTTGCGAGCCTCTTACATTTGTAGAGCGTATCAATCAACCTTCAGATGTAACGCTCGACATGCGCCCAGTTGCCACCAATTATAATTGTGTTCTTGGTTGAGGTTGCGCACCTGTATGTCTAGCCAATATAGAGCTACAAGGCAGTTTCCCTTTTACAGGGGATTCCGTCATTCCTCCCAGAAAGACCGAGAGTTCCTGTGCGGTTCGATTTTTCCTTGGTTTCCCCATTCTGTCCAGGGTCCCAACTGTTTGAGTGATTATGTTTGTCTCGCAGAACCCAGACCTCCAATGGTGCCTCTGATGGAGGGTGTCCTACGTGTAAGATTACCCCAAAGGCGTCCGTGTCCATTCCTGACCACTGGAAGGGTGTTTGGTTCCATTTTGGAGGAACACACGTATTGCAAAATGTTTCTGTAATTTTGGAAATCCCTTTTGCAAGGTTGGTGCTCAAACGGCTCGCACAAAACGGCCGACCTCTTTTTACTCGAGGTGACTGAAGAGCAGCGTCAGAACGCCATCGAGTGCGACGGCTTTTTGTACGCGGCCATCGACTTCACGGCCCCGCAGACTCTGCCGGATATGGGCCACTTGACTCCAGCAGGGGCGGGGATGGGAGGGAGGGTTCACCACGTACATGCATCACTAAGCTTTGGATACGGCTCTTACAAAGTTGTTGTTTTGTCACTTTTACTCATTCAGCCACATAAATGTCCCAGTGGGAGACCTCGAATTAATTGGTCTTGTTTGGCCACCCAGGGTCTGGCCATGTGATGTTCCGCTTAACACCTAGCTTTTGGCAACGGACCAAGAAGCCACTAAGCTAGCTGGTGGTTGGAAGGCCCAAAGACTGATCCAAAATTGCCAGGAGTTCTGATGTTAGTAAGAGGAGGGCTCGGTCGCCGCCGCCGCCCAACCCGCGAGGCCTGGACGTGACGCCTCGGTACTACCAGCCCAACGAGGGCTCGAAGGGGTTGACTTACAACAAGATGCCGCCAGGCGGGAATGCGCTCTCTGGGCTGATATGGACCTATGCCTGCCATGGTCACAGCATCCCTTCCCGTGCAGGGATGGAGGATGGTCATGGACTAACTCGGGGTTTTAGCCAGCCAGCATAAGGTTTCCTAAAAGTCCATGACCATGGCCATGGATAATTTTGATCAAACACCCGTTGCACTGGGGCCAAGTAGGGATGGTCCAGATGATGGTCCTGTGGGCAGATGGGCGAAATGCAAATTGATCAACTTCGGCGCGGGGGAAGTTCCGATGAGTGCTGGCAATTGTTGAGGATATTCCACCTGGGCTTGTTTCAAAGGTACGCCAAATGGTTTTCCCTTTGGTCTCCAATAAAACCAAGCCCACAACGGAGACCTCGGCGACGTCGACCCTGAGGCTGGGAGATGGCCGAGGCCACGGACAGCGTGAAGGAGAAGGCGCAAGCGCCGATTTCGTTTCGATCGAGTTGGCGGGGTGTTGACCCTGTTTGTTTGTTTTCTTTGTTGTTTTTTGCCAGAGATGGGTATGGGTCAAAATTCAACCACCAGGGGATCGCAGGTTTGAGACCTTGTTTCCATTTACCAGGGCTCTATTTTGGGTACCTGTTCTTGACCCACGTCCATATTTGGGCGTGTCTCTTTTGGAGGGCACTCCTTTCTTTTTGGTGGCTTTACGGGAAAACCTAACAAAATTTGGCGGGTCCCCCAAAGAGACACACCCATTTTGGAAGATCGACTTTGCAACACCGGCAGACAAGTCAGTTTCCAGCCCAACTCGGCAGAAAGCTTTGCTATGGGGAAAAGACGGATTGGTGGACGCCGACAACGGTGACTGTTCTTCGCTAACAAGTTCAGGACAGCAAGGAGAGGCGAGTATGAAAACACTAGTAGGCAAATACAAATCCAACAATTTTGAATCAGTCGCATTCGCACGCACACGGTCTCACCTTCATGCGAGCATGAGACCACGGCTTGGAGAAGAGCACCAAGAGGCAAAAGTAGGGATGGAGACTGAGGGCATTTCTTGTTTGATGGTGCGAACCCTGGATCGCAATTGATGGATTCCCACTAAAAGGGGGACATCCCCGATCAAAATCAACCAGGGTTTTTTGTTCATCGAGTGTTCATATTAATTGCCTGGCTTCATGGGGGAAGTTTTGTCCCATAAATCTGAGGTCTGTTGAACCATGGCAGTAGAACCACAAGACAATGGGACTTTCGGGCGCTTACCGGAGCGTCCGCCAACATAGGGGCCTGCTATGGATGGTTCCTCGTGGGTCCCCAAAGGGCTTCACCATGCTCCACCATTTTGAGCAGCCCAAGCCCATTTGTTTGCTGAACTTAGAACATGCGATCAACTTATGCACCGAGGGTGCACCAAGATCACACATGATAAAGGTCCTTGACTTGGGGTCGTCCTTATTTCAGATTAGAATTATAATAATCCGCCCGAAAAAGTTGCAAAGAGAAGCATCCGAAACGGTAAGAGGCTTGAGAAGCCTCAAGAGGGAAGGATTCAGCCGAATCAATTCTCCCAAATCGGGGTCTTTGTGGGAAGGCTGGTCCCTCATCAAAGCTTGCTGCGGGTTGGGCTTCCAAGCGGTTGGGAGGGGTGCAACCACCCCAACTGATCAACTTGCTTTTCCTCAGAGATTGAGGGAATCAGACCCCTATGGACATGGTTTCCTTGAGAGCATAGGTTCATTCCGACAACCCGAATGATTCCCGAAGAACCAATGAAGGGCACCAAATCGCTCGCCATCGCTCGCCTCTTTGTGCCTGCAAGGCCCACCCTTCAGCGTCTCCTGTTTGTAGACAACCCCATTTTTGCCCTGTTTGCTTGCTGGACATTGCTGGTTGGGCCAATACATCTTGGGAATCTCTATGTAGGTGATAGTTTTCCAAGGGGAGATACATCTGGATTCCTTGACCCCAAGTCTATGACTCATGCTGACCCTTCCCAGAGTTGTTTTTATATTTTGGCAGGGGGAGGTCCCCTTAGCAATGTCTTACTGGGTCTTGCTCACTACAATTCGAAACCAAACACATTACCTTCCCAAGGGGCCAAAAGAGCGATCACAGTTAGCATTGAAAGCGTCTTGGGCAAAAGTCAATTCGCAGTCCGAAGAGCTTGTGACTTTGAAGGGGGTTCAAGGCTCAAGCAAGGCGTTAAGGCTACAGGGGGATGGCTTTGAGTAGTGGGTTTCCTGAAGCCATACCCTGCCATCGCATGGAAGCTTCTGGCGAATGTGGGCGATGGCTTCGCTGTGTGGGAATGCAGACCGAGTTTACCTCTTGAATCAGCCAGGAACTTGAAACAACCATTTACTCAGGGTGGTTTCCAAAACCAACCGCCAACCCCAAACCCAGACAAAGGCCTAGGGTGTCTTTGAGGGGGGTGTTGCATAAAGACGGTGTGTCATTTCTGAGTCCAGGTCCTTTCAAGTTTTCTAGATCCTATTCACCCGGAACCCATGCACACCTTCCTTGAAGGGTCCAGCCCAAACCGGACGAAACCTCTTTTCACCGGCCCCCCTTTTGGGTTATTTCCCCAATCTGCAGGGGAAGAGATAACGGCAGTCAAGGAAACCAAATGAAGAATAACCCCTATGGAATTTGACCAAGAGAGGCCTGTGGGGAAGTTTTCGATGTCATTTGTCCTGAGATGTTGCGACTCAGCACTGTCACCGGACGCTAGGCAAGGTTCCACGATGGCGGGCTCTTCAAAGGACCATCAAATGCCCGAAAGATATGGTACCAACCAAACCTTGCAAGGTGCTGGGGGGATGCTTGTTTGTTTTGTTCCAGATCGCTTCGGTTTATTCACTTGAGCGCAGGTCATCAAGCCTTATCCCTGGGGTACTCATCTCCTTGTGACAAAGGACAACAAGGCCGGGTAGTGAGTTGCGCTTTTATTTGTGGACCTGTGGGGCATGTCCTTTCAACTTGGTTTTTGAGAGGGGGTTCCATTTCACATTTGGAACCGTGATTGTTAGACCTCCTGATTGTCAACGGGACCCGTTTTCAGTGGGGAGTCCATGTGTTTGTTCAGGGAAATGTCCTAGATGAACAACCGGCGGGGGGGACTCAGGATTCTGGGGTCAATGTTTAAGACTCAACATGGCCTTCTTGGACAATTTAGTGGCCGGACACGTGGGTGATCGCTCCATGCCAGCCAGAATTGTCCGCAGGGAGGCAAAGAGACCACGAGACCCGACTGACCGGTCTGGGAGCGCTTCTTAAGGGTGCAGAAACTGGGTGGCCCATCTCCAGAGTAATGTCTGGAGCAAAAGAGGCGTACTTTTCCACTTTGTATGAGTATAACTGTATATTATTATACGTATACATGCGTGTATATACATTTATTTGTAACATATGTGTATACATATATATACATATATATGTACACACATGTATTAATGTTTGTGTATGTTGTGTAACTGGGGTTGGTCTGAGCCCCCAAGGCCCAAGTGCAGGTCGGACTAGCGTCCGTTGGTTTTATGTCGTCAGGCGCCTGCCTGTTTACAGGAAAAAAGCACTGGTTCGCAGAATGATGTATGTCAAATGGGGCTCTGGTGAAGTGTTACCCATACTCTGCAGAATTCTTTAGATTCACATTGCACCAGCAAATACCTGGTTCAGAGGGGAAATACCTTTCTGGGTTCCAGCCGAATTTGAGCGGGGGGAAGAGATGGAGCGATAATTGTTTTTGTTTGTGCGAAGGCCTTGTCGTGTTTCAATTGAAACATGAAGGGTGACCTTGGATTGAAAACAGTAGACCTCCAGTGGTACGATTTTTCTTCTCGTGTCGGTAGAGTGACATTTGGAAATCCAATTCGGAGAACCAAAGGTATTGTTTTATAGGCCCCTAGATCGACTGCTTGACCGCTGGACCCTCTTGTTTCCTGCGATTGCGAAGCAGGGTGGGCAACATAATAAGTTTAAGCATGCAGACTGACCCTCGTAGGACAGGGGTCCTCCGAACTTCACCTTAAGACTCTTGGTACCTCACAAGGGACCTTTTTGAGGCTCAACCGTTAGATCCGGACCTCTTTCGAGGGTTCTGTTTGATGCTTAGGTTAGAAAAATGGATGGAGTTCTTTGATTTGGTTTCCTTTCGTAGCTGTTGGAGCAACCCTGAGGATTCCAGACGGAGGTACCTTTCCCAGGCTGACATCTGCGAAGACCTTGACGCTGCCCTAAATAGACTTACCACTACAATTACAACATGAAACCAAGAGAAACCGCCGTGCACCAATTAAATACTAAGACACAACTCCATGGGTTTACCCTTTTTGGGTTTGTCCCTTTGTTTGCATTCGGGGTTGGCCCTTAGCTGCCAGAAACGCGTGGATTGCTTCTCACCAAGTGAACACCCCCATCGAGGCTTACCAGACCGCCAAGGGCGAAAGGCCCGGCAGCCTTGAGATGCTTTGGGACTATGCCAAGGAGAGGCAGACGAGCGATTTTCCCAGAAGGTTGCAATTTGATCCGTTTTGTGAATTATCATACTTTGGGCGTTGCTTGGCTGCAAATTCGCGGAGCATGTTCGGGGCAAACACCTGGGTCTCCTTCTCCATCAAGTTTATGGGTACATTTAGATGACTGACACCATCAGCATGTGGGCACATGACTCGATTTAGGGCCAGAGTTGAAGGATTGGCCATTGGACAAATGTGTGTTTTGCCCCTGGAGGTGCATCAGTTTTCATTTCCAGCTGGGCCTTAGGAAGGGCTCCAATTAAACCGGAGGTGTAGCTTGTACCTTGTACCTCCGAAGGCTGACTACCATAGAAACCAGCAAGATTCGGTGCAAAGCACCCTATGGTAGAGCAACAAGTTTGGCACAACCAAAATCAAGGAATACTTCCTGTGAGTTTCCTTGACTATGGTCTCACTAATGCCTTACCAACGGGATGCATTGGAGGGGGCCCGGGTTGGTTTCAATGTGTACCCCAGGATCCTGCCAAGGGCTACCGGCTGGAGGCGAAGGCCTCTTGGCTGATGCTAATGCTCGGAAATTTCACCAGCTTGCTTTGGGCAACTCGTGGTCGCAAGATTCAACAAAGTTTGGGTCGTTTGGGTGTTGGTTTGCCCGCGCAGCAGTGACCTGCTTAAGACAGGGGACCAGGGGACCTTCTTGTGTTCAGCGGAGCTAACTACGCGCCTGTAGGATACGTGCCCCAAGGATGTAAGCCTTAGCTCGCGCAATCTGTCGCCACTCCAGTTTACATTGAATGTATACTAAATGCAAATATATATATATATATAGACATCCACATTCATATAGATGTCCTAAACAACAGAATGCCTTTTTATGTTTTTGACAAACAGGGGTCGGCCTTGAGGAACCGCCATGCTTGAATCTTGCTTGTTGCTGCCCCTGGAGAACTCTTCATGGTGTCTGTTTGGATGGCCCGGGGGATGACCACGCGCCCCAATGAAGATCTTCGAATTTCACGCGGCTTTGTGTCGTATGTTGATTGACATGGCCAACTGGAGCCCCCAGCCCCCATACTTACTTTTTTGTCGGAGTTCCAGTTCCAGTTTTCACTATAGGAGGAAACCCGGTATGTTTACCTCCAGGTTTTCTCACAATTAATGGTGTCTCCTGGGAAGCTACGGTAACTGGAAACACTGGGAGTGCACACACACACACACACACCCTGGCAGGGCCGCATTAAGGCCAGGAAGGCCAACGGCCAATGCAGTCTTCACCTACGTTAAGGAGCCCAGGCCTCTAGTGAAGCCCCGTTCTTCATCTCTTAGAGGGTGCCCGTGTCATGAAAGTCCACTGGTCTGCCAGTGCTGTTTGTCCCTGCTCTGAGGTTGGCATGAACGCGAGGTGGCATGGCCGGCTTTTGATCAAGTCCAAGGTCAGCCGCTCGATCCAAAATTTGAGCCAAATCTTCCGAAGAAAGGACGGGGAGCCGTCGGAAAAACGGCAGTCTTTCAAACCTGGTTGTGGGAAAGGGATAGATTCGCCAAGGAGTACTGTTTCCCCCAGAGCCTCAAAACGATGGCTGGTGGGTTGATGTTGGATTCCGCCCCCTTCAAGAGCTGGAGCCCTTCAAATTGACCAACGGCTGTTTGAACTTTTGGGTCAAGCCAAGCCAATCCCATGAGAAGGACGACTTCCCTGGAGAGTTCCCCTTTGTTCGGCGTCGTGAACTGCAAGGTCAACCCCTGTTTGAGCTGTACAACCTTTCTCTGAACCACTTGATCACCTCACACATTCTTGATTGGCTGTTTGCACGTGTTGTTTGCCCACAGTAGCTTGGGACCAGGGATTATCCACAATTTGTGGTTGTGCTTGTTGTGGTTTGTTGCCTTGGGTAGCGTGAATTGTCCAAAATCCCAGGTTAATTTTGATTGTGTTTGGCTCATGGCTTCGTAGTTGAAACCATGTCACAAAAAACCCAACTTGAGATGGCTGGTTTCCCCTTTGACGGTGAAGGGGGTGGTGAACGGGAGAACCCGGATCCATGATTGCATGGTTTGTCAGATGGAGGGCAAATCGGAGAGCAGACGGACGATGCCCCTTGAATCGACCCCCAAATTCAATGGATGCTTGATGAGACACCTAGTATCATTGATGAGAGCTGGATACTGGGGAACAACCCCAATGTCCAGATCCCACGGTCCATATCTAGCAGGTTGCACCAGGGACCTCCTTTTTGTAATGGGCTTACTTCTGTCTTCGCGGCAAGCCATCCAGAAAGGGTGTTTGGTGACACCCTGAAATGGGTATAGACGCAAGAATTTGCCATTGCGAAGCCACCTTCTTGGAGAAAGATGCCCGGGTATAGTTTTGAGTTCAATGTCTTTTCAAACTTCGGTTTTGGACAATTCACAATACCCAAGGCAATAAACCACAAGAAGCAGAGGCACAACAAGTGGAGAATCCCTGGTCCTAAACTATTAAACAACATAAACAACACTTGCAACTAGCCAATCGAGAATGTGGAAGGTGATCAAGTGGTTCAGTGAGGGTGGTTCAGAGAAAGGTTGTAGAGCTCGAACAGGGATTGACCTCGCAGTTCGCTAGGCCGTGTCACGATGAGCCAAAAAGGCCCGATTGGAAAATGAATCAAGACATGCCCAAAACGACCAATAATCACACCCCCCCTCGACTGCACAAAGGGCGCAAGGCTCGCGGGGAAGGCGACAAAGAGCTGGATGAGAAGAGCGAAATAATTACCGAACAACAGGGTGAATGGGGACCCAATGAGCCGTCCTCCATCCCCAGCCCACGCTTTCGCGGGCGGCGAATTATGGGTATGGAGTGGGTACGACTTGGGTACCAATTCACGCAAGACACGACACAAAACAACCAGGAAAAGGGGGCGCCTTCATCAACCAGGCTCAAAGTCGATTTGGGGAGATAGATTTAAATGCCAGGCAATCCGCCTGTGTGGGAACTCGGACATTTTGATTATTCTAAATGGCGTAGCCCAAAAGCAGTTGGCATGCTTGCAGAGGTGAACTCCTATGGGATGGGTGTTCTCACAAAATTAACACGATCAGATGTGTGTATATATATATATATATATGGTCCCGTGTTCCGTGTTGCTACCCCCCCCCCCCCATATGGTATGGTCCCCCAGGACCCCCCCCCCGGCCCGAGACCCCGAGCCCCCGGATCCTGGCAGTTACGGTCCCACCCCCACCCCTACCCCCTGAACTCGCACCCCGCCGGCACCCCCACCCCAGGACAAGCCAACCCGCAACCAACCATAAACCAACCCTAAACTAACCCTAAACCAACCCTAAATACACCCTAAACCAAACCCTAAACCGTAGACCTCTAAACCTAAACCAACCCTAAATCAATATAAGCCAACCCTAAACTAACCCTAAACCAACCCTAAACTAGCCCCAAATACACCCTAAACCAATCCCCAAACAATAAACCCTAAACCTAAACCAACCCTAAACCAACCCTAAATACACCCTAAACCAAACCCTAAACCAAACCCTAAACCGTACACCTCTAAACCTAAACCAACCCTAAACCAACCCTAAATCAACCCAAATCAACCCTGAACCAACCCTAAACAAACCCTAAATACACCCTAAATATACCCTAAACCAATTCTAAGCCAACCCTAAACCACCACAACCCAACCACAGGACCACAACCACAGGGGGGGGGGGGGGTACCGGGTACCTGTCTGACCCATGACCATTGGGGGGGGGGGGGGGGGGGGGGCTGGCAACGCTGTACCATATATATATATATACATATAAAGAAAGACTCGTCCTCTTGGGGCTAAGCCCTGTTTAGAAGACAGTGAGACAGTGGATGCCTGAATATATTGCAAGCCAACCATCCCCAGCCACAAGACATTGGTAATCTACGGCCTTGTCAAGGGCGCCAGCTCGCATTGTCCAAAGCGAATCGACTCGACCTTTTGACCTTTTGGATTCCTCTTTGGGCAACCCTTTTAAGCCAAGGCCCCAAAAGCTGAACAACGTGCTTCCAGTTTGTTTTGCGGTAATTTTGGGTGGAGAGCCTTGGCTGGGTCTCCTCCAAAACATAGTTCACTTTTCAGGGTTCAGGACATTTGCTGTACAGACCCGGGCTAAGTTCGGGCGGTTGCATGGGGTTCCAGGCATGTTGAGTCCGTCCCACTAGCGAGTCGCCTTATGGTTCTCGTTTTGAGCTTGCTTTTTCAGCCCCTTTCTGCCATGGAAGTGCACAGGCCCCTTGTAGGCTACTTTCCCAGAATTTAATTTCCCAGGTTTGTAGATGACCAAAGGAGCCGCCCTTTCAAAGCCAAAAGGGCCAAATGGTTGTACAGAGAAATGGCTTTACTTGCAATTGTCGGGGTAAGTAACAGGGTCCCCCTTTTTCAAGGGCGCGTCCACACTCCTGTCAAACCTTGACCTCCCCGGGGCACATTCGGGGACGCACTCATTTTCGCGATGTGCTTCAGCTGATTGTTTTGATTGCTCACATGGGCAATCCGAGGCAGCTAACGCGTGAGCCCACGCGAGCTCTGAAGTGAGTCCGGATTGGTCGGACAGGACTTCCAGAGGCTGAAAACCAAACTCGCCAAAGAGACATCCATTAGTCCAGACTTGCTTAAGCTGTTTGATGTTTTGCACGTATGGGTTTCCTTCGGATCCTTTTTCAACCCGCAGCAGGTTGAGAACCGGTAGTTAGTCAACATATCCAGTAGTTTATGGTCAATATGAGTTTCGAGACATGAGGCACTTGAATTCCAAACACGCCAACTAGACCTGATGCCCCATTGGATGCAGCACATCTTTTCCGTTCCTCGTTTGGATTGTGTTGGTGGTAAATGGTTACTGGTGGTGGGTTTGTTTGATTTTTTTGCGGGCCCTATTTTAAGACACACCCAAGTGTTAGCAAGTAAGTGCCTGGACCCAGTGCATCAAGCCTCAAAGAAGTGAGACTTATGATTGCAAATGAGCTTCATCAACGCCGCATCACAGGGCCGGGTGAGACGGTGACTTTCAACGTGTTTGGCGGGATGTACCTTTTGGCGGTTAAATTATGTTTGTTGTTGCTTTTGCGAGACAGGGACTTTAAGCCAGCGTTCAGGTGACTTGCGAGCCGCTGACAAACGAGAGCGTTCAGTCACCTGCGCTCGAAATCGCGCAGCACACGCACGTGACTGCGCGTGTGAGTGGCGCTGCGCGCGCATCTGGTAACGAAACGCCCATGAGGAAAAGCCGCGCGGCTTGCGGTGCAGTGCAAGGGATGTCCGAGACCAGATTTGGGGTTGTGCGTCGGTGTGTGTGTGTGTGTGGGTTTTGTTGTTGACGGTACCCTTTTGCACTTGATTTGTGGGGGTTCAAGGTGTTCAATACACCTTTGCTGTTTGAACTTTGTTCTGAGGGAAACATAGCTGTTCCTCTAAAGGAATAGAATGCTTCTGGGTCAAAGCTTCCGGAGGGTCCAAGGGCAAGCCCCAGTCCAGGACTGCTCCCAGGGTGTTTTTTTTTTTTTAGAGACGAATAACGCATCCCTAGAGTGATTTCCCGAAGAAGTGTTCAGAGCTATTCTTTTAAGATCTAAGAAGAAGAGCTGAGAAGTTTCAATCACTTGTCCTAGGAGGAACCTTTGTTGTTTTCTCTATTGATTTTGAATCGAACTTGGATGGAACCTAGAGCGCGCCCGGTAGCCAGTTGCTACCCATTTCAACCATAGGTCAAGAGTCAAAATGTTCATGGTTCATGGGTACCGGGCATCCTCTACAATCTGGGGCTCCAAATTTTAAGAGCCAGGGGCCCGCAGGTTTGGTCTACTTGGCGTTTGATTACCAGGGTTTCATTTCGGGCCCCTATTTTTGAGCCACACCCAACTGTACTTCAGCTTATGACCAACAACCCTGGGTGCTGATAATACTTTGTGGGCCAATGATGCAAATGCAAACGGCAGACAGGGCTACCTGCTTTGAGACCAAACTCCGGCATCCAGTATGGCATCAAAATTCAGCTGTCAGAATGAGATACCCTCCCCATAAAAAACCCGATCCTTCCAGAAAACTGCCCAAAACTGGAGGGAACACGCTTTTGTTTTTTTGAAAATGCTTGATCCCCCCAGACCATGCGTCTCATTTGAGACGTGGAAAAACAGATTCCCGGCTGACCGCAATGGGTTTCAATCCCAACTTCGACCTCAAGACTCAAAAGTGGACCTTGATTGAAAGGGGAGCGTCAGGATGCTTAGGCTTACCCTATTGAGGCCTGAAGGAATATGGAACCTCAAAACAAATCCTGCCCGCATTCAGCTTCCTCTATCTGGTACTAATTTAGTCAGTGGTTTGGAGGTTAGGGTGGTTTCCCATTTGCCCTGTACAAGAACCAAGGATCAATTCCCCAAACCACCAATCCAAAACCGCTTATTGGGAGGAGAAACCTGTAACATAGGAAAACCAAAAGGTAAAATAACAAGGTCAGAGGTCGAGCCGCTGCAAACGAGATGTGTTGATTTCGGCCATTTGCCCAGTTGCAACTAGTGACCCATGGTAGAAAAATGACGCCTTTTTGGGGTTTGACATGGTCCCATGACCAAACAAAAGGGTCAAAGGGCACCCGAGTGCAAACAAACAAACTCTCAAAAACGCTTGAAGCTTGTTGGGTCTGATTGACAGACAAATCAGCTCCTGCGCCCTTCCAAAGGGAAACGGAAGCCCTTGGACAAACACCACCAAGCGCAAGGTCAAGATTTCCTCCCAAAGATCCTGTCGATACCCCTCGAGTAAATGAGCCCAAAGGATCATATGTACGCCCCAAAAGGCATAGGCCCTAAAAAAAAGGCTCCCTTCCTTGGGTATCCCTTTCAGGCTTTGGAATTGTATGCGGATTGGTTTCCCATGGCTTCCCCTTGGGAGGTCGACGGGAAGCAACCCTGTGGCCAAATTTCGCAGCGGTTCAGTCGGAAGCCATGCACCCGGAATGAACCAGGTGCGTCTTGCCCTATATACTCCAGGCAAGCGCCCATCAGTATGCAAGCTTTGGCGCACGTCATGTAAAACCTAGCGTCGCCAGCATCAACTGGTTGCCTATGGTTGTACCTCCAATGGAAGCTGACAGGAGGGGTTTGGACTGCTTTCCTTTTAGGGAAGCCCCCGACCGTCCACTTCTAGATGGAATGATTGGGAATTTAATCAATATTGAAATGTCTTTAGTTTGGGGGACACCCCAAAATGACTTCGGGTTTCCTGTTGACTGTTGATTTCCCTTTAAGCCCACCCCAACAGCCATACCCCCAAACATAGACCAGCCACCCATTGGGTCGCCCACGAGACTAGCAAATATAGCAAATTGGGTCCAGCCAAATTTTGGTCGGGTCTATGGAGCATGTTTCGCAGTTGGCTGTGGGTCAAAAATATGTACCCAAAATGGAACCCTGGTAAATGGAAACATGGACTTAAACCTGCGGTCCCCGGGTGGTTTAATTTTGACTTATACCCAGTTCAATCTCTTCATGGAATGTTTTTTGATGTGTTCAGGTTCGATGTTCATGTTGATTTGACCAGACTCAAGCCTGTTTTTTGGTGAGGCAAAAGCAAGCGGGCTATGCTTTGTTTTGCGTTTTTGAACATGCCTCCATCCTCCTCCATCCACGCCTCACGAGACATGGCACCGTCAGGCTGGGAAGCCTTGGACAAGCAGAAAGAGCTTCGGTTCCTCCGTGCCACAGCCGGGAACCCGAGACCCGACCGTGTTTCTTCTCTTGGCTTCAGTCCAGTCGGGCCTTGCGTACGACAAGGGTACCTTTCTATCTGCGTGTGCTACATGTCTAGAAGTTTCAGCATGTGTCCATGGTTTCCTGTTGTCTGTCTAGCATGTGCCCCTAGCTGCAAGGCGGTCCTATCTGGCTTCTAGTCAGCAGGATGCATACGCTCACTTGGATAATCTCGTCATACTTTCTAGCAGTTGTTTAGTACATGTTTGAGTGTGTTTAGTAGTTTAGCTTGCTTGTATCACCAGCCCGGTTGCCATATATATATATATGTGTATATATATATATGTAGCAGAGTGTAGCATATGTCAAGCCTGGTTTTAGAGTTTGTTGGCTTATGACGGTTGTTAATAATGTTTGGCAAACGAAAGTATCCACCATCCCTAGCAAATGTGTTTGCCTCTGTTTGGAGATATTGCACAGGACAGGGGGGTACCTCCACATCCCCAAGCAAGGTACACCGCCCCATACACTTGCAAACACAACTTCTAACACAGTATGTTTCGCTGGTATGCCATGTATGTTGCTTATTTTCTGGCCAACTGCAAGTGAAGGCACCTGGTCTCTGTACATTGATTATACCGTATACCTTCCAACTGTGTGGTAACTACTGTGTGAATATAAGTAATCATAGCGGCGATCTCTTTGCAACATCCCAAACACCTGGAGCCGTCCAACCTCCCAATGGCAGGTCATGACCGCTCAATGATGCGCAGTTTTGAAGGGTCTGGGAGACTCCAGATGGGTGTGCCCTTGGTGAGGGGACCCCAAGAAATGGTTGGCTTCCTTTTTGTTTCCCTTTAAAACCAGCCAAACAACCCAGATATGGATCCAATGGAACCTATCTCAGGCCGAAAGTGAAAGATCAAAGCCCCCAAGACTGTTTTTGGCTCACTGTGCCTTTACGCACATACCAAGCAGGTGACAGGCTGAATAAGGAAGGTTGACTCAAAAGGAGCAAGTCTTCCAAGGTTTGGGAACCCGCTTTTCGTTGTAAAGGGAAAGCAAAAGGAAAACAACCCTTCTGGAGGTCCCCTGATTTTGAGACAACCCCAAAGTCCTAAGGTCCCGCAACGCTTGCAGGGTTCCTGATTTTATTGTGAAGCCATTTGCTAGGCAGCTGGTTTCGGCGCTTCCACCGTGCAGGCCGGAGACAGGGGGGAAAGGAACTCATTGTTAGGCGGAAATTAGATAGCACATGGGCCTAGATATTTGAATTGGGCTTCCTCAAAATCCAAGTTAGATCATGGTATAGTAATGTGTGTGTGTACCATGTAGATGCCTATATTTTGATGTCTGGAAAGACATTAGGACCCGTGTGTCTACCACGCAGAAAGATGTTCAAAGTTTCGAAAGAACCCTTCATGATTAGAGGTCTTCATTAGAAGGTGCTGGGAGCCTTGTTTATTGGGACCACAACTTGTTGGGGTCCCACTACACATGCCGTGTCCATTGCTTTGGTATTTTTGGTCGTTGGATCGACCCTCAGACTTATCAAATCAGTTTCCTGGGAAGGGGCCTTCGTTTTCCTGGTGAATTATTTGGACTACTAACCATTTGTATGCCCAGGATCTCGCTTCGGGGAAGCCGTAAACCTTGTTTGGGTCACCTGAATCGGTCAGCTGACCATGCAGTTCTAGGGTAGCATTTGGACGGGAACCCAGGAATCTTTGGGTGCCGAAGCTTAAGGTATATAGGTGCCAGTGCCAGGACACTTGGAGCTTTTCCATATTGGGCCTGAGTACCAGAAATTTCCGCTGAC